GTACTCTATTGACACCTCCATTAAAGCACAGCTGGCAGCTCTGAGCAAGATATTTCAGTTGCCTTTTAGTAGGTGAGAAGAGTTGGGTGCCAAAAGCAATGAAATCCAGCACACTGAACAAAGGAGTCTTAACCTGGTCTGAAAAGATGAGGTCAGAAACTATATCCTGGATGTCCAGGGAATTTAGGTGCTCTGGCAGTAAGTCTGGTACTGCCAGTACAGTACAGTACATTCTTTAACTAAAGAAGGGAGAATTTGCCCTTTTCTTCTGAAGCACACCAAGAAGGGAGCAGCAGCCTTGCTGTCCCTTAATGTATCCAAAAGCTTAGCTGCTAAAACATTTGGCCAGGAACTGAAAACCTAAGCTAAATTAATTCTTCCATATAGCATGTCTCTAGACTATCTGTATTGATATGCTCTAATAAACTGATGTTTTTTCACCTGGATTTGCATGCAATCTCAGGTCGCTGCTCGCAAATTTTAGTTTGCACAGGAAAGGCAAGGGCTTGAGGGCTGGGTATGGAGCAGGAATGCATGTGACTTTATTCCAATGTCAGTAAACAACCATCTGCAGTATTGTGTGTTCCATGTGGAGGAACTTTGCACTGATCTATTTATTATTTATTCACTGCATTTTTTTTTTAACACAGGGTTTCCTTAAGAGAAAATATCAAAGTCTCTGCATGAAGGGATCTGAGCTCAGATAGATGCTTAATGCCAGTAAGATGAAACATCACATTAGAAATGACAGAGCATCTGAGAAATGTCCATGTGTCAAGGGTGAGCTGGAAATTAAGCATTACTGAAGGTGAAGGTGAAGGAACTCATATTTAAATCCTGTCCCAGACACACCTTAGGCACCTTATGTCCAGTTCTTGGATGTGAGCATTTCTGTGTTTGCCCTTGCACTTTACGGGAAGCCACAGGAATCATACATTGTTACTATTCCTACATCTTTCAATGATCTCCTGTTTCATTTTGCAGTGCCCCAAAATCTTCTTTACCCTGCAGAAAATATTAAATGTCTGAAATCCTATCTAGAACCCTGCAATTTTAAACATGAAACCTGTCAGAATGTAATATTGACACATATTAAGAAGCTTGAAAGGATAAAGTTTATAGCAGCACTTTGAGAACTTGGTGTAAACCTGTGGTTTAGTGCTTTATTTAAAAGTACTACTATGAGCATTCCTTTATGTTCTTCCTCCCAATTATTCTGTTGTGTGGAGCCAAAATATAAGTGCAAGGCTGCAGTGCTGCTTCAAGCTGTCAGGAGATCAGTGCCACTGCCACAGCCAAAGGCTCTCCCGGTTCAGCTCTGGTCCCCATAGGTGAGTTCTTGCCTAGGAGCACTGGAGCAAGTTGTGTTTTGTGGCTCCTTTGCTTCAGTGGCTGCTTTATTTGATCACAGGAGTAAGTAGCACTAACATTTTAAAATGCAAGGTCATAATCTAGAAGCTGAAACACACAAAAACGTTTATTAGTCAGCTGTCGTACAACCGTAGTACCATCGTTCCTTAAGTAGCGTTGCTTATCACACTGCTCTGTACTAGCAACAAAAGTAAGGTTAAAGTACTCATTAATAAAGTCTGTTAGATTTTATTATGACAAAACATCTAATTGTAATCTTTCTGCTGTCGCCAAAAACTCAGTTATTCAATTATTTATAAAAAAGTTGGAGCTCTCATCGTTTTCCTTTTTTTTATTATTATTTTTTTTGAGCCATGTCATGTTTTGCATGAATAAATGTTCTCTGAGTACTTTTTTCAGAAGCATTGTTTGTGGTAATAGCAGACAGACAGACTTTTGTATAAAAATGTAGATGGTTTCAGCTGCCTTTTGTCATCTGATAAGATTGCTTTGTTCAGAATTATTTTGGTAAAAAAATTGGCAAAGTGATTTTGAATAGTTCAGACTCCAAAATTAGAAGTGAGACAAAAATATTATTTTTTTATTAGCTTTTATATCTCTTCCACCAAGCTTTCGCAACTTCTAATTTAATTTTGAGCAAAAGGGACAATTCACTGCAGGGGAAAAATCGTTCTCAAGAACATCCATAGTTGCAATGGAGGAAAGCTGCTAGTAGTCACTGTCTATAAATGATTGAGTATGAAATGACAAACAGATTGTTAATGTTAGCAATAAAGTGCAGTGGTCAAGCCAGCACACTTGCTTTGCAAATCAGAAAGCAAAATGAGCATGCGAAGTAAGAGAAAATGAATAAGTTTGATTTTTGAGTTCTAGCTCAGATTTTATCAGGTATAACTTCCATCGTGTACAGTGAAAAATTTATAGCGAGAAGAAACAGCAGAAGGGGGATTGGCAAAGGCTTGGTACACTAAGGGCAAAGCTCAAAAGAAGGAATTAGTCTCAGTTAACTTCTTTGGCTTCAGTTGGCTCAATAGGTGGAAGTAGTAAAATAGTTGTATTTTCCATATGATTAAGAAAGTGACTGCCTACCAAGCAGCTTAAGTATCACAGTTTTGAAAGGTAAGAGGCATTATTTTATCCTCTTTATGGGCTGTACATATTTGAATCATGCAATTTTACAAGTATTTTAGTATGGAATTTCTTCCAAACTCAAAATGTATCCTGAGGTTCTGCAGAAAAAAAGCTCACTCCAGCTCCAGCACAGTCCATAGGACTTTCTCCACTGAAAGTAAAGGAGGCAGGTTCAAGCTCTAAAACCATCTCACTAATAATAACAATATTTTATTGTCTGCAGAGAGAAATAGGACTTTTCATGTATTTTTAGGTATACTATCCTACACCAACGTTGTTGAGAAGTTGTGGCAATATGTGTATTTAAAGTCTGACATGAATTTTATATAGTGTAAGAAATGTCTTCACCAGGTCATAGAGAAAAATATTGAAATTATCACTCTTTCAGATGTCAGGTATGAAATGGGAGCTGGTCAGTAATGTCCTTTAGTCTCCTAGAAAACAACACTTATCATTTGAAAGAGAACTAACAGTAATTTAATCCTACCTAAGAGGGGCTGCTTGGTGGCTGCTTGCTTGGCTAACTTCTACTTTAAACTGTTGCACTGAGATACAAAATTATTTATATTTTTAAAAATTGGTAACAACATCTATATTATATACCAGCTCTGTAGTACTGCCATCTGTGATGTGCCAGCCTTAAACATCCATGTAGTTATCAAGAACATATATAGGTGGTAAACAATTAAAATAATTGCTTCTACAATGAAGTGTTACTTTAACTAATAATGTAATTCCTTTTTTCTTGCTGACATTCTATGTCCATGTGAATTACACCCTGCACAAAGGTATAAAAAGACTGAGGACATAATTTTACCAGTTGGTGTTTTGTTGGGATTTTCCTGGATTGTTTTAATCTGTATAGATATGTTTACAAATGGTCTGTTACACACCTCCCTAATTTTGAGTTATTTTCAAGTTATTATTTCAAGTGATTTTCATAAATTTTGAGTTAATTTTCAAGTAGCTGAATGCAAACCAAGCCAGGGAGGGAGGGAAAGAGGGAGAGAAGGAGGTGGGGAAGGAGGGAAGGAGGGGAAGGAGGGAAGGAAGGGAGGGAAGAGAAGGCAGGGAGGAAGGGAGGGAGGGAGGCAGGCAGGCAGGCAGGCAGGGAGGGAGGCAGGCAGGCAGGCAGGCAGGCAGGAAGGCAGGAAGGCAGGCAGGAAGGCAGGCAGGAAGGAAGGAAGGCAGGAAGGAAGGAAGGCAGGAAGGCAGGCAGGAAGGCAGGCAGGAAGGCAGGCAGGCAGGAAGGAAGGCAGGCAGGAAGGCAGGCAGGCAGGAAGGCAGGAAGGAAGGAAGGAAGGAAGGCAGGAAGGAAGGAAGGCAGGCAGGAAGGAAGGCAGGAAGGCAGGAAGGCAGGAAGGAAGGCAGGAAGGAAGGAAGGCAGGAAGGAAGGAAGGAA